CCAAATTTACTTAGACGTGATCTAGCTTGTATTGGTGGAGTTGTTATTTCTGCTCTGCACTTGAATTTCCTTCATGTCAGATTCACAGCTTTTCCTTTTTTATAGGTTGGAGTTACAGTAAAACAGAGACACACGTTGTGTCCCCTTATGGTTCTTTTTTTGCTCTAGGGTATATGCATTCACTGGAGAGAGAGAGAGAGAGAGAGAGAGAGGGAGGGGGGAGAGAGAGAGAGAGAGAGAGTATCCCCCAGGAGGGATGGCTATGCTGCAGTCTCTTCTTCTCTTGGAGTCTGGGCAAAAAGGCATACACACCTGCCATGTTTTTCAACCTTCCAGGTCTGGGACTCTAACCATACAGTGGGATCTGGCCACCTTAGCCACCACACAATCTGCTGGCCCCTACCCTTATGGTTTTACTAGTACTTTATTATCTTGCACAGATCATGTGAAATAGTAGTAAATATTATGTATTTCTCTTGAAAAATGTAAACCATTATTGAATCAGCATTTTGATTAGTTGCTTGAAGAAAAATAAAAGCAAATTAACTCGAGAGATTAGAATTCAAAATAATGTTTTATTGAAAGTGAACATTGTAAATATTAGAGAAGGCAAGGCCTATTTAAAGAACTTTTTTAAATTTCATTTATTCATTCATTTATTTTAATTTGACAGAGAGAGACAGAGAGAGGGGAAGTGAGAAAGCAAGCTACCAGGTCCAGGACTTGAACCATGGTCAGCCATGTGGGAGTGTCCAGCATCTTAGCCACCACGCCACCTGCTGACCTCCAAGAACTTTTTTTTTAAGAGAGATTTTTTTATAGGGTGTGTGTGCTTGCCAGAGAGACAGAAGGTGAGAAATCATCCCCTAGGGGTGATGGCCATGCTGCAATCCCTTTTCCTCCATTCTCCTCTCAGGATTTTGGGCATGTTTGTACATGCGCCTGATATGAGTTTTAAGTTACCGGCTCTGAGATTTGAACTAGGGTCAACTATGTGGGAGCCCAACGATATAACCATTACGCCATCTGCTGGTCCCTAAAGAACTCTTTACTAATAGGATAACTTGTTCAGTTTAAAGTTATTTGACGGTATGCATTTTTTAAAAAATAATTTTAAAGGAACTTTTATTGCCAGATATTATGCTTGCTATGCTATCTTTATCATTTCAAAATGACCCAGGAAAGTTTGTAAGCCAATTAGTAGATGATATACTTTAAAAATTGTTTTCAAGTCTGGATGGCTCCTTTAAAAAATAGTCATTTCCTCCCCCCCCCCTCAAAAAAAAAGAAAAAAGAAAAAAGGACCAGCAGTTGTTATAATGGCTATGTTGCTGAACTCCCACATAGCCGACTGCAGTTCAAGTCCCGGACCCGGTGGTTTAAACTCACGCCGGGTGCGTGTGTGTGCGTGCCCAAGATCCCGAGAGGAGAACGGAGGAGAAGGGATTGCGGCATGGTCATCCCCCCGGGGGGTGATTTCTCGCTTTCTGTCTCTCTGTCTCTCTCTCTGTCTTTCCAGCAAATGCACATACCCTATAGCAAAAACCTCTCCAAAAAACAAAACAAAACAAAACAAGACTCATTTCTTCCACACTCCCCCCTCCGCTAACAGGAACTCTCTCATCAGAAGCATCTAAAATTGCTTTCCACTCTGAAATTCAAAGCAGAGATTGTTGTTTTCCACAAGAATGTATGAGTACTTTCCCATATATAATTCCTCAGAGAGGGAGCTCTAATTTGTTCTGGTTTGTAGCTAAGGATTACAAGTTTGGGGAGAGTCTGGGAGACTGTGTCACTCTTCTTTCTAATTGCCCTGATCATGCAAGCCACGTGGAAGCCTGTGATGACACGATGCTTTACACAGCATGTGGGAAGGAATTTAATGCCTGCAGGAAGTACATATTTTTGTGGCTCTTTTACCTGAATAATGAGTTTTAAAAAGGTGCAGAGAGATTTGAACATCCGGCTTTGTAACATGTCCAAACATCGTGCATCAACAGGGGGAGTTTAAAATTTCCTCCAGGCTGGTGAAAATCCACTTGGGCAACATGCAGAAGTGAGAAGAACTGTGGTCACGCATGCTGTGACCTTCAAAATGGCAGCGAAACTGACACCTTCTCTTCTTTTCTCCTGCCCTTATTTAAAAAATCTTGTTAATCTACTAGCAGCAAGAAACTGCAAGGCTTCTTTTTAGCCAAGTAACCTTGGTGGATATTCTTATGGAAAAGAAAAACATGCCTATGAATATGGCCTGATTGATTTTCATTTTTTTTAAATTAAGTCATCAGGACAAATAGGCATTGGATATATTTATGCATTGGATATTTAATCTATAACTAATAAATTGTTTAGGGGCCTCCAGTCGGAGAACCAGGTTTTTCTTGAACCCTTTCGATTATGAGGTGGCACATTCAAAAAGGAAGCTCCTTCCAGCTTTGGATCTTTCTGTTAGAAAACTCTACCCTGAGCCACAATGTTGTTGGCATAATTTACATTCACACGTGGTGACTGGGCTCTCCGGACATGAGAACATTAAGCCTAGTATCATTTTAATGGCATCTTTCATGAAGAAAACCAGAGTGCATTTTAGATCTTGCTTTTCTTACAAATATCCAGTGTAACCTCATTCCATATAACATTTCCAAGGCCTCTTTGGGAAACAGTCCAATTGAACTTGAACTTTTGGAATGGGCAGTAGACAGAATGTTCTGGAACGTGCTCCAAATCGTCCATCCAGGGATGGAATAGATGGCATTGGAGGAATTGTTTCATAGCCAGACACCCTTGTGACATAAGTGAACGACTATTCATCTGGGCATGCATTGTTCCATTTGTTTAGGAAGTCTTAATTGTTCCATTAACTTTAAATGTAACATGTATATGCTGTTTTGAAGGATAAATATTTACAGAATTCAATACAGAAGGACTACGGTCTGGGTCAGACCATCCTATGATTTGATCACCATCCCATTTTTTTTTGTTTTAAGAGAGATTTTTGCTATAGGATACGTGCACTTGCCAGAGAGAGAGAAAGAGACAGAGACTGAAAGCGAGAAATCACCCCTCAGGGGGAATAGACATGCTGCCATCCCTTCTTGTCCATTCTCCTCTTGGGATCTTGTGCACACACGCACACACTCCCAGCGTGAGTTTTAAGTCATTAGGTCCAAGACTCAAACTGCTGTCGACTATGTGGGAGTCCAGTGACCTAACTATTATCCCATTTGCTGGTCCTACAATCCCATGATTTTATCTTAGTAGAGATATTTCTTGACAAGAAAAGATTGCCTAAAGTGCTCCTCCACACACATGTACATGGTCATTCAGCAAATAGTTACCTGTTGTAGGCCCCGCACCATGCAGTGAGCTAGCAGTGGAATCCCATACGAGACGGAGCTTACAGTTCAGTAGGAGAGGCACATTTTTGTACAGATGATTTCAATACCTTTTGCCTACTCATAAAATCCACTGTAGAAAACCATCAATGAACTTTAACCTTTTGGAAAGCTCCGTCTAGTTTGTTTTTTTCCATTCCCTGAAACCCAAATGATAACATATCTAGCAAGCTATAGCATTTTATATTGGCTCTAAAAATATCTTCATCATATTTCAAAAGGGATTCCTTTGTTCTGTTCTATTCAAAGTTATTGAAGAAGTTCACTCCATGTTCTGATAGTAAAATTAATACAATAATAAAAAGCACCATCTTACAATTATACAGGAAGCTTTGAGTACTTTCTCATTAGGTTCTTATAACATTATGACATTCTATAAGTAATGCCAAGAAAGTTTATCTATGGAACAGATGCACACTCTCCAGAAAGGCATCTTTATTTTTTTTAAATAATGATTTATTATTATTATTATTTCTAATTTGCTTTAGGGTAAATGCTCTCACCAGAGAGAGAGAAGAGAGAGAAGAAGCAAGTGAGAAAGCAAGCCATCAGGTCCAGGACTCAAAATTGTGGTCAGCCATGTGAGGGTTCAAGTACCTTAACCACCATACCTACTGGCCTCTAAAGATACCTTTAAGACCCCTGTTGCTCTATGGATATTAATTACTCTCTTTCTCACTCAATCAAACTTGTCTCATTGGTAAGATGCAGCCCTCCGTTATGTTTGGTTAGCTCAGACGGTGTGGAATAAATGAAAACATGAGCCCCCAGATCCAACTGGTAGATATTTCTTAAGCTAACCACAGCTGGCTGGACCCGCTGTGGGTCCCGCGCCCACAGGGAGACAGGTGTTCTCTTTCCGGCTTTCTACAGCCTGCCCGGGGCATGAATGCACATGTGAAGTTTCATTCCGGCTTCTTTCAACTTCTTGGTCACTAGGGCCTTTGATTTGTGACCTGAAGCAGAAGCAGCTTCTGAGTAATAAACACCACATCTTCATAGAGTTTTTTTTCTCTTTCAGATTTGACAGAGGGTGCATATGCTCAACAGAGAGAGACAGAGAGAGAGAGAGGGAGTAAGAAAGCATCCTCCATGGTGGGTGGTCATGCTACAATTCCTCCCCTTCATTTCTCCCTCCTTTTGGGATTTTGGGTACACATGCACGCACAGTGGAGTGTTTTAAAACCTCCAGGACCAGGATTCAGACCACACAGTGGGCCACTTGGAGTCTAGCCACCTTAACCACCATGCCTCCTGCTTTCTTCATCTTTGTAGATTTTTATATCTTAGACACTTTCTATGTTTTGTGAATAGTAATGAAACTGAACTACTTCGTTTTAGTGAGAGGGGAAAATAACCAGGCATAGGTAGGACTTACATTTGCTGAAATGATTTATTAAATAAACTTACCATATGAAGCAAAAAAATGTTATTTACTGAAATGTATCTATAGTTTAGGGGCTTCATGGAGCCATGTTACTTTTATTCTTTGTTATTTTTTTAGGTTAATAATTATATAGCACTCAACACTTATTTTGAGTTTGTTTCCATTATGAAAAAACACACGTCCATCTTATGACCTAATTTTACTGATATATTTTTTAGGTAACTGAAATGATTCTGGAAATGTCTCTTGAAGTTTGGTAAGTGCATTTATTTAATTGAATGGGAAATATCTGAATGACCCACTAATTTCTTTTAGTTGTTAAGGAGTATACTTGTATATACAAAATTATTTTGATGGCTTTGAAGATATAAAGGGATATTAAATTTGCTTTTCTTTTTTATTTATCTGTTAACAGTTACAAAATTAAAAAAAAATTCTAGTACATTTTGCTTAATTCTCCAGCAGTTTGATGGTTAAATAGCAATGTTAGATTAAGTGCTTTGAAAGAACCTTTGTTATATTTCTATTCCCAGAGAAATCAATGCAGGTCTATCTTCCATTGTTGATTTAGATAGATTTCAAAAACATGAAACTGAACATAAGCAGAAAACTTACAATCATATTTGTATTACAATAACTCAGGAAATGTATCATTTTTCCAAAGGAGTAGCCTGAAATTTGAGACTCATTTTGTTCATCATGACCAGAAGGACTCCGAATAATTAAGTTCCATGAAACATGTAGCTTTCAATGTGGTCTCTAAGAATGAACACTGGAAGATCATCTACTATTTTCTTTCTTTTAAGAGAGATTTTTACTATAGGGGACGTGTGCTCCCTAGAGAGACAGGGAGAAACAGAGAGACAGTCAGTGAGAAATCACCCCTTGGGGGATGGCCATGTCTCAATCCCTTCTCCTCCACTCTTTTCTCGTGATTTTAGACATGCATCACATGTGCCAGGTCTGGTACTTGAACTTGTGGTTGGCCATGTGGAACCAGTGATGGAACCATTATGCCATTGGCGGTCCCTAATTCATGATTTTCAAATGGTGACTCTTAGGAGAGGAAGGTCTGCCTTGCTGTGATTGATCTCTGGTCTAAGACTGGATTCAGTGGATCCCACCTTCTTCATCCTGTCTTACCTGTATCTTCTTTATCTCTTTGAACCTCTCTGTTGAAGTTGATTTTACCACTTACTGGTACACGTTTCACCCCAGGATGGGCTTTAATGATATGTTACTTAAAAGATGTAGGAAAAACTCAGCTAAATAATATATACTTAACCAAAAGTAACTTACTATATGTTTATAATAAGTTTTAATTCTCTTTTTATATGTTAACTTGTGATTATGAGTCTAGAATAGAAATTTATTTTTCAGAGAAAAATCTTATTCATTAAAAAAGTTTTTAGGGATCAACAAATGATGTTAAAAGTTTACGTCGCTGGACTCCCACATAGTCAACTACAGTTCAAGTCCCAGACCTGGCAACATAAAACTCACGACTGGTGTGTGTGCATGCATGCCCAAGATCTTGAGAGGAGAATGGAGGAGAAGGGAGTGTAGAGTAGCCATCTCCCCAAGGGGTGATTTCTCGCTTTCTGTCTCTCTGTCTCTCTGTCTCCCTGGTGAGCACATGAGCCCTATAGCAAAAATCTCTCCAAAAATTATGTAAGGCCTTCCATTAAGCATAACATAAAATCCAGAAAGAAAATTAAATGAAAAGTTAAGGATAATACATAAAAAAGAAATAAATTAATCATAATTCTATTACTATATTTATAAAATTACTCAACATTGTTTAAACTCATCCAGTTTTTTTTAACATCTTATTGACATCTTCTAAACATTTATGTTTATTACACTGTTCAAAGATCTTTTAAAAAATTATGATTGTTTTTTAAAAATAGTATAACATATTATAAAGAATATGAGTTCTAGAGTGAGAAATCCTGGATTCAAATCTCCTTCTTGCTAATTATGTTAGTGGTTGAAAGAATTCTAATTACTTTTATTACTCATTAGTAAAATAGGAAAAGATTATTTGGTAGTTTATCTATTGTGATAATTAAATGAGATATTCTTTCCGGACAGCATATACTATAGGAAACTTTCACACATACATATGTCCATAATAAGACTAATAACTTACAAAAAATTGGAAATAATCTCAATGTTTTCTGAATAACCAAATAATGGTATATTTTTTAAATGTAAATGCTCCACAATAGTAAAAAGTGTTTAAATTACTTCTATAGGAGTCTTCCAAAAGTTCATGAAAAATGAATATTATGAAAAAACTACATGTAGGGGGACCAGCAGTTAGCGTAATGGCTATGTCGCCTTATTATTATTTATTTATTTTTTATATTTGTTGGAGAACACTTCACTTGCTGGAGAAAGACAGAGAGACAGGGAAAATGAGAAAGCACCACATGGGACATGGATACACTGCAATCTCATCCTTGCCATTTTTCTCTTTACAAGATTTGGGGAATGCACATACCTCTGAGTGTGCATTTCACAAGCTGCCAAGTCCAGGACTCAAACTGTGTGGTTGGCCACTTGGCATCCAGCGACTTTAACCACCAGGATCAGGCTGACCATGAATGCACATTTAATTATTTGTGATGCTTCTTGCTTACTTACTTTTTTTTTTTTTTTTTGCTTTCGGGCGCATGTGCTC